TGGATTCTTTGATGGTCTAGTTAGTTCTATAAAACAAAAAAGGCACAAAATCACTGAAAGAAAGAGAAAGCAGAATGAAAAATTACCAAAAGACTTTGATACCTCCTCAGTTACAAAGATCACTGCCTTCCTTGTCTCAATTGTCTTCACAATGGCTTTTCCGAAATGGAAAATTTGGCTTACACGTGTAATGGCCTCTCTCTGTCACAGACCAAAAATGATTTCAACACTGCAATCTATACTTCGTAGAGTTCATGCAGTTTCCCATTCATGGGGTCATGAAGTAGAATTACAAAAAATTCGAATGAAAAATGCTAAACCTGAGTCAAAACTTATTGAGAACCCTTATACTTGGAATGTAGCTGTTATTGACAATATTGATTTTAAAGATACCACCTTTCATTATAGTAATATTTATGATGCAACCAGAAACTCTGCACATGCTACTCTCAGAATGATCTTCCAATTCCAACTTCCCTTTCCTGTAGCTACATTTTTGCAAAATTACCAAGAATTAACTTCTGAATTGAAATTATTTGGAATGTCGACTTTTACTGATGAATGGGAGAATACAATTGATATGATCTTTCGAAACTTTCTTCAAACTCATGAACATGATTTTGATTTTCAGGATATCCATAAAGAAGTTGCTTCAAAAGTTGAATTAGGTTGCAAAATTCCACCACCAAACATTGTAATTCTTAAGCCAGGTCCAGCACCTAAAAATGATGAAGCAGTTTTTGAATCAATAGATAAATATACTCAGGACCTTAAACAAAATGTTATAGACTTAGCTTGTGATGAAGCAATCTTCAGGAGAACAAGAAAATACTCAAATGAAAATTTAACTGGTAAATTCATTTTAGGCCAATGGCACACATCCAAAGCTATGTGTAATGCTTTAATAACTACTTTCAGTGGATATGGGATTTACAACATAGCTGCTGCTCTTGGTGTTCGTTTTTTTGGATGCACTTGTAAATAATGTTGATTATAGAGCCACAAGTTCTGTTTTGGAACTTATCTGGGCTGCTACTGGAATATCTATTTATAAATATGTGATTAGTAAAAATATAACAGTCAGTGACATTGCCAATGGAAATAATAATGTCTTAAAAGTATGGTTATTATATTTCCGCTTAGCTGGATTTTGGAAAGCCCATCAATTAGGAATACATATGGGAAATTTTGATATGCAAATAAATAATTTAGCTGCATTTGCTCCACTATTCCCAGTAACTGGAAAATCCAATTATGCTCAATCAGTTGTGTATTTCTTAGAGTCAGTTCAAAGAAATATTGGACAGAAAGAATTACTAAAGCATGTATGTTCAGTAAACTTGACAAGAGAAGGTCATTATTTTGCTTTCAATGAAGCACTTGAGTATTATGGTGTTAAATTCATAAAGCAGAATATTACTGGTTGATCTACAAATCCTGATAATCTCATGATGCAAATTCAATCAGTCCAAGCTGAATATGACCGTCTGGAACCACTTCTCAGAATTTATTCAAAAAAATACCATTCACAAAGGAGAGCGAGCAAAAGTACAATGAAGAGATATTCTATGGTCTGTTGTTGATGAATTAACCAAGGCATTTAATCTTCCAGATCCTACAGAACATGAATTTTTTAAAAATACAAAGGAAATGAATGACAATGGTTTTAATAATATGTTCACGTGTTATGAAAAGGGCTTAAAACGCCTTAATGAATTATTATATCAAGAAGTTTATAAAACATTACCACATTCCACTGTTGGTAGACGAAGTAAAGATGTTGCTTTTGTAAAAGTTAAAGAACATAATGAACTTGTTAAAGAAATTAACAAAAAAAGACAAAATGATGAAGCAGAAATTAGAGACAATATACCTGTTCTAGTTGAAGATATAACAATTGCACCAGTTGATGAAATATTACAAGTCGAAACCACTTCACATAAAAGACATAAAAAAACAGATAAGGAACTTGAAATTCTTCAAGAAGTGTTTGGTCATCCTACAGAGTTACCAAAGGATGTAGCAAAAAATTTATTAGAAAATCTATTTGAAATAAATAATTCATGGACATCTACTAAAGTTAGAGAATATTGGTATAATAATGTGAAAAGAAAACAAAAATAAAAATTATATTAACTTATAAAACGTTTTTTATTTTTAATTGTTTCTTCGATGTACATCTAAAATAGTTATATACGATATAATAATGTGAAAAGAAAAAATAAATAAAATTACATTAATATATAAAAAGGTCATAAATAACTTATAAAAACTTTTTTTGCTTCTAGTTTCTTCCTCTTCTGTAAAAACCAAACGAACCATATATTTTCTGAAAGCCCTCAATATACTCTATCTTATCACACTAAAATGATCATTATAACGTTGTTTTTCATAAAGAATTAGGTCTTCGAAGCTAAAAAGTATGGGTCTTTTTGAAAGGCTATTGCCGGACAACAAAAAAAGTTACCAACAAATAAAAGATTGTGTTTAAAAGAGCAAAAGTACAAGAATGTATTTATTTAAAAGTGTAAAAATTGTTTGCATTAAATTCTTCCTTTAAAGTCTGTTGTACGAAAAACGTGATGTGTCGATCATATAGTAAAATCAGCAAGTGTGAAATCCTGTCTGACTGTTAATAAAATTGTACATCTTTAATCCTTTAATAAATTTTTTTTACTAATAATTTTTAAAAAAATCTCTGTCAGGCTATTCTTTGAATTACAGAGAAAAAAATTATGGAAATTTTTTTACTCTAACTTGTTTGGTTATTGAGCCTATACATTTCAAAGTTTAACAGTATTTTTTAACATTTTGGATGATTTTACTGATAAAATTAAAAAAAAACTCTCTGTCACCATGTGGACCATTACATTTGTTATAATATCACTTAATTTTATAGCTGTATCCTTTTTTTTTGAATGAGAAGATGCAATTTTTATTTTTATAGTTGTTGAAAAAAGTTTATTAGTAAATTTTATATTAGTTTGATCTACATTAGTCCATCGTACACCCCAATGTTGCATGTAACTGTGCACTTTTTTGAAAAATTTTATTCGAACCAACCAATTTTATGCAGCATTTTTGAAGCCTATCACATGGACACACAGAGCACTTTTGGACTCAAACTCTTCATAATTTTATATAGTAAATGCCAAAGTCCATCTAATCTATAAAATTTTGATGTAAAATATTTATTATTTAAAACATCATGGTGGTTTGAGTATTAGTAACTTTCTATATTTTAAATAATGTTGACCAGTTGTATAAATTTTGCTGTGTAACATTATAATTGCGCACATTTAACTTTTGATTACACAAAGATTTTAATTTGAATAGTAGAGATGGGAATGGTTCGGTTTATAAACTGCCAGTTTGGCTAGTGAACTGCACCAACCAGTGGTTTACCACTGCGGTCTGAACCACGGTTCAAACTCAAGTTTAACTGCAGTTTTATAATTTTATTGGTGATCTATTTTTATAAAAATGAAAAAAATTTTTTTAAAAAACAAATTATTTGTTCTGACAATTAAAGCTATTTTAAACACCACTACTATCTATTCTCTTCATATTTGCTTGTACTTTAAATTGTTTGCATCAATATCTGGAGTTCCACCTGATCTCTATATCAAGTTGTAGCACCATAATTCAATTAATTGTGATTGAAATATCTGTTCTCATAATTTTCTTTTATGAACAATAAAAAAATAAACATAAATTTTATTATCAGGTCCAATTCAAAATTTAGGACCACAGCATCAGTTAGTAAGATTTTTAAATAAACTAATATG